AAAATGAGTCCAAACATGACTAGGTTATCTTTAAAAACAACGGAGATACGATTATTTTCTAATAACGATTATCGATTGTTTTTTTGGTTATTTTTGGCGATATCTTGGTTATTTTTTGAGATAATCTCATCGTGTTTGGTATCATTTTAAAGGATTTTTAATTTCCTACAGGAATTTCATACAATATCGATTATTTTAAAAATTAAAATATCGCTCAAATAATTTTATATTTAAAAATTCGTAATCTAGATGAAAAATTCTTCAAAATGAGTCCAAACATGACTAGGTTATCTTTAAAAACAAAAAAGTTGTGAATTCAAAATGGCCGCTAATTTATTTGACATAATCTAACTTTTTTCACTTATGAATAGAAATTCGTTTCCGCCATAAAATTTCCTTTAAAATGATACCAAACACGACCCATTTACTATTTATGGTTCCAAAGATATTTAAAATTAAGAAAAAACAAAATGGCCGCTTATTTCTTTTTGACATAACCCAACTTTTTTATTTATAACCCGAAATACATCCAGTTTGGTATCAAATTTCATCATTTTTAATCCTTAATAAGATTCCTTTTTCAAAAGAATTCATTTTAGATTCAGTTATGATAAAAATTTTAAAATGGCTGCCAATTTTTTCACATAATCTGATTGTTATTAATTTTAATAGAAATAGAATGAGTTTAACATAAAAATTTTAATTTTTTATTAATATATTTCTTTTAAAAAAAGCAAGATGGCCGCCAACTAATTTGATACAACCTAACTTTATTCAATTTCGATTAAAATATCGTTTCCCCCACGAAATTTCCTTTAAAATGACACCAAACACGATATATTTATGATTTATGGTTCCAGAGATATTAATAATTAAAAAAAATCAAAATGGCGGCTTAATTTTTTTGACATAACCCAACTTTTTTATTTTTAATCGGAAATATATCGAGTTTGGTATCAAATTTCATCATTTTTAATCCTTTTTAAGATTCCATCATCAAAAGAATTAATTTTTGATTTTATTATGATTAAAAAAAATCAAAATGGCCGCCAATTTTTTGATTTAATCAAAATTTTTTTTATATTAATCAACAAACGAGATATTTAATACGAAAATTTAAATTTTTTATTAATAATAATTTTAAAAAACTCAAGATGGCCGCTAATTTATTTGACATAATCTAACTTTTTTCACTTATGAATAGAAATTCGTTTCCGCCATAAAATTTCCTTTAAAATGATACCAAACACGACCCATTTACTATTTATGGTTCCAAAGATATTTAAAATTAAGAAAAAACAAAATGGCCGCTTATTTCTTTTTGACATAACCCAACTTTTTTATTTATAACCCGAACTACATCGAGTTTGGTATCAAATTTCATCATTTTTAATCCTTTTTAAGACCCCATCATAAAAAGAATTAATTTTAGACTCATTTCTGATAAAAATTTCAAAATGGCCGCCGATTTTTTCGGCATAATCTGATTGTTATTAATTTTAATAGAAATAGAATGAGTTTAAGATAAAAATTTTAATTTTTTTTGATATTTTTATTTCAAAAAAAATTCAAGATGGCCGCCAACTTATTTGACACAACCTAACATTTTTCAATTTCGATTCCGGCACGAAATTTCCTTTAAAATGACACCAAACACGATCTATTTCTTATTTATGGTTCCAGAGATATTAAAAATTATAAAAAAATCAAAATGGCGGCTTAATTTTTTTGACATAACCCAACTTTTTTATTTATAACCCGAAATATATCGAGTTTGGTATCAAATTTCATCATTTTTAATCCTTTTTAAGATTCCATCACCAAAAGAATAAATTTTTGATTCTGTATAATTAAAAAAATCAAAATGGCCGCCGATTTTTTCATCAAATCCACATCTTTTTAATTTTAATCGAAATACGATTACTTTAATATAAAAATTGTAATTTTTTTGTTAATATTTTCGTTTAAATAAATTCAAAATGGCCGCCAATTTATTTGACATAACTCAACCACTTCAATTTTTGATTAAAATTTCGTCTCCCCCACGAAATTTCCTTTAAAATGACACCAAACACGACGTATTTACAATTTATACTTCCAAAGATAACAAAATTAAAAAAATCAAAATGGCCGCTTAATTTTTTGGACATAACCCAACTTTCTTATTTATAACCCGAAATATATCGAGTTTGGTATCAAATTTCATCATTTTTAACCCTTTTTAAGACCCCATCATAAAAAGAATTAATTTTGTTGGAATAAAAAATTCAAAATGGCCGCCGATTATTTTAAAATTAACCTAACTTTTTCATTTTTAAAGATAACCCACCCGTGTTTGGGCTCATTTCAACGCATTTTTCACCCTCTCTCATAAAATCGACAAAAAAACTCACCCAAATTATTCGTGTAAGCACAATCCGGCCTACCACACGCAACGTTCGCCCTGTACTGTTGAAAATCGCCCCCCATCAGCGTATCCAACCTTTCGTGTCGCGCCGTATGCTGCACAAACCTAGTTTTATCGCAAAAACTGTACCCACAATCCTGCCGCTGACAATGAAAATGAGTCTGATGCTCCCGATACCCACAATGCTGATACTGACAATCCTCATTAAACCGAAACCTCAAATAACCCTCCGGCACCGGCTCATCCTTCAAAATTCTCATCGAATTCTGTATCCTCGCCTTTTTTTGTTCCGGCGACATCACCTCGTGATGATGCGGACTTAGCGCGCGTTTATTCAAATTTGCCGCCATCGCCGCTAAAGGCGACGTCATATTTTCCGTGGGGTAGGGCGCTTGAGGTGGCGGCGCTAACAACCCGCTTTGTATCAACCCGGAATGTTGAAACATCAATTGATTTTGATACAACGTTTGATGCAGAAACGGATTTTGCATCGATTGTTGATTAATTAACGCAAATTGTGTCGCTAAATTCGCGGGAAAATTCCCGAAGTGATACGCAGCGTCAAAAGATGGCGTTAAATACGCCGATTGTTGTTGTTGTTGCGGGGAGATGTCGCTGTCGGATTTATTCATTTGAATCGGTGTTTGTTGTAATGTTTGTAAAGGTGCTACGTTTATTTTCATTTCTGGGGGTGGTTGTTGTTGTTGTTGTTGTGATGGCGGGGGCTTTTTCTCGGGGGATTGGCGATTATTACTGTTGTTGTTGTCTTCTTGGTTTAAGACCCCGCTGCTGTGTTTTGCAACGTGCACCATTAATTTATCGATTTCGGAAAAGGCTTGGTTGCAGGCGTTGCAATGGTAATGGTATTTCCGTTTTAATTTGCAAAAAGGTCTGCTGCAACTTATTTCTGGGCTGTATAAGGTGTTGTTGGTTGAGGTTGGATCGTTGATTTGGTTGAGCGATTGTGGTGGTTCTAAAAAGTAATAATGATACAAAGATAATGTTAATAAATAATTTATGGGAAATGGCGCAATAACACAATAATATTTAAATAAATAAATTGTTAATAATTCCAACTTCACTACTAACTAGATTAATACCAACTTAGATTAAAAAAAATGATAAATTCCCTAGATTTTGAGAAAAAATTGTGAAAACTTAAAGATTGGTGGAAAAAAAACTTTAATTTTGTTGTATATTGGGCTAATGTTGAAAAAATGATTATAATTTGTAAGATTAATGTTTATAAATAGTTAAAAATAAATAGTGTTACCAACTTAATTTAATAATAAAACGAAAAACACTTTGTTTACTAATTGGAGAAATTGAAAATGATGAAATTCAAGAAGAAATTGTTAAAAATAAGTTAATAATGATGAAAAACTTGGTAAAATTTATAAATCTTGAAGATTTGCTTCAAAATAGCCCAAAGAATGCGGTTACAAATTGATAAAAAAACAATTCAGGGAAATCTAACCTCAAAAAATAAATCCAGGTACGTTTTATCAATTTAATTCTAAATTAATTGATGAAATTATCGAATTAATTAACTTCTAGATATAAAACCATCTAATTAATACTTTTTTTAGAATCAAAATAAAAAATTTGGGGGAAAAATCTTCACTACGTTCAAAACTATATCAACAAAATTTAATCTAATTTTATTTACTTAATATAATTCTAATCTAATTGATCTATTTTGTGTTACCTGAAGGAGTTGATTTGGTATCGTAGGCTTGAAGTTTCTGTTCCGAAGGCACCGTCGATAACGGATAAAAAGTGCCCGAAGCTTTTACAACTAAAAAGAGATACAGAAAAAAACCGTGCTATTTACTATTTACAGTACAATCTAGTACAAATCTAATCCTACGCAAATATAGAGTGCAAAAAACGCCACCAAAAATTCTAACCTCAAAATTAATTTTATATTTACCTGAAATCTTATTTTCGCTTTGTTGAACCAAACTTTGACTACTACTCAAGTTCATCGCTTTGAATTGTTGTTGGTGTTGGTAAATTAAGTGGTTATCTTCGTCTTTGAATTCGTTTTTGATTTTAATTGGGTTGTTTTCTTCCGATAGTAGCTTTTCTTCGTTGTGTTTTTGTTGGTGGACAGCCATCGTTGAGTATTGAACGAAAGAGTAGTTACAATTTAATCTTGTGCAGTGAAAATGACGATTTACTTTGTTGCTGGGACAATTTTGTAGGCGACAATCGACGTTTCGGTCGTAAAATTCGAATCCGTCCAAAATCTCGATGTTATCGTGAAAATCTTTGCTATGCATCAACAAAACGTCCTCTTTATCGGTAACGTAAAGACATCGATTTTGATTGCAGTGGTAATGGACGTTCCCTAAATACGGACAAAGCGTGTCTGTGCATTTTGTATTTTCGTTGTAAATATCGAATCCTTGCAAACTATAATCTTGTACCTAAAATAATTAATTTTTTAAGAATCAAATTTATTAAATTTAAATTATTTTAGTTACATTAGTTGGTGGTGAACACGATCTTTCATCGTTTGAGTCTGGTTCTGGTTCTTTTAAGTTACTTTGAGGCATCACTGTTGATGGTTTTGGCAACTTAAAGCTTGTAAATATCGCTTGGGGCGAATCCATCAAACTTTGACTCCCCATTGGGGCCTAAACCGCCAAATTAAATTAATAAAAAAAGATTTTTTTAACATTTTTTACTTACATAATCATTCCAAACCTCGATAACCCGATTTTTGGGGGGTCTCCCCCTTTTCCTGCAAAACATCCCATCGATGGAGGTGGCTAGATGCGTCATCGTCAAAGGATCTTTCGTCAAACTTAATTTTTTCGAGTACTCGTGCATCTTGTAATGTTCTAATCGACGAAATGGTTTTTCGTTGGGTAAAATCACCTCGCGGCAATTCTCCCAATTGCAATGATAATGTTTTTCTTTGTCCTCGTAGATGCAGCCGTCTTCGCAACCCCCGTTTTGAGCCGTTGTGAAATAATTTTCGGTTATTTGTTCTTGTTGTTCGTGGTTTCTTGCGTGCTCTCGAACGCCGTCTTTACAACTGGGGATTTAAACATTAAGATAATGAATGGAAATGCAAAAATTGATAATTTCAAAAAATTATGCCTACAAAAGTTGTTCTTTTTTTGATTCTTAACAAGTTTTATTTGAAAAATATTTTGATATAAACAATAATATGGAAGATAACCTTGAATTTAATTTCTATACTGTTCAGAGGGAAATTAAAAAATTGGTTATTTTAAAAAATGATCCCTACAAAAGTTGTTCCTTTTTTAATTCTTAACAAGTTTTATTTGAAAAATATTTTGATACGAACAATAATTAGGAAGATGACCTTGAATTTTATTTCTGTACTATTCAGAGGGAAATTAAAAAAGTAATAATTTAAAAAAATGGTGCCTACAAAAGTTGTTCCTTTTTTAATTCTTAACAAGTTTTATTTGAAAAATATTTTGATACAACCAATAATTGGGAAAATGACCTCGAATTTTATTTCTGTACTATTCAGAAGGAAATTAAAAAATTGGTTATTTTAAAAAATGATCCCTACAAAAGTTGTTCCTTTTTTAATTCTTAACAAGTTTTATATGAAAAATATTTTGATACGAATAATAATTAGGAAGATAACCTTGAATTTAATTTCTATACTGTTCAGAGGGAAATTAAAAAATTGGTTATTTTAAAAAATGATCCCTACAAAAGTTGTTCCTTTTTTAATTCTTAACAAGTTTTATTTGAAAAATATTTTGATATAACCAATAATTGGAAAGATGACCTTGAATTTTATTTTTGTACTATTCCGAGGGAAATTAAAAAATTAATTATTTTAAAAAATGATCCCTACAAAAGTTGTTCCTTTTTTAATTCTTAACAAGTTTTATTTGAAAAATATTTTGATACGAACAATAATTAGGAAGATAACCTTGAATTTTATTTCTATACTGTTCAGAGGGAAATTAAAAAATTGGTTATTTTAAAAAATGATCCCTACAAAAGTTGTTCTTTTTCTAATTCTTAACAAGTTTTATTTGAAAAATATTTTGATACAATCAATAATTGGAAAGATGACCTTAAATTTTATTTCTGTACTATTCAGAGGGAAATTAAAAAAGTAATAATTTTAAAAAATGTTGCCTACAAATGTTGTTCCTTTTTTAATTCTTAACAAGTTTTATTTGAAAAATATTTTGATACAAACAATAATTAGGAAGATAACCATGAATTTAATATCTATACTTTTCAGAGGGAAATTAAAAAATTGGTTATTTTAAAAAATGATCCCTACAAAAGTTGTTCCTTTTTTAATTCTTAACAAGTTTTATTTGAAAAATATTTTGATACAAACAATAATTAGGAAGATAACCTTGAATTTAATATCTATACTTTTCAGAGGGAAATTAAAAAATTGGTTATTTTAAAAAATGATCCCTACAAAAGTTGTTCCTTTTTTAATTCTTAACAAGTTTTATTTGAAAAATATTTTGATACAAACAATAATTAGGAAGATAACCTTGAATTTAATTTCTATACTGTTCAGAGGAAAATTAAAAAATTGGTTATTTTAAAAAATGATCCCTACAAAAGTTGTTCCTTTTTTAATTCTTAACAAGTTTTATTTGAAAAATATTTTGATACAAACAATAATTAGGAAGATAATCTTGAATTTAATTTCTATACTATTCACAGGGAAATTAAAAAATTGATAATTTTAAAAAATGGTGCCTACAAAAGTTGTTCCTTTTTTAATTCTTAACAAGTTTTATTTGAAAAATATTTTGATATGAACAATAATTAGGAAGACAACCTTGAATTTTATTTCTGTACTATTCAGAGGGAAATTAAAAAATTAATAATTTTAAAAAATGTTGCCTACAAAAGTTGTTCCTTTTCTAATTCTTAACAAGTTTTATTTGAAAAATATTTTGATACAAACAATAATTACGAAAATAACCTTGAATTTCATTTCTATACTATTCACAGGGAAATGCAAAAATTGATAATTTTAAAAAATTGTCCCTACAAAAGTTGTTCCTTTTTTAATTCTTAACAAGTTTTATTTGAAAAATATTTTGATACAAACAATAATTAGGAAGATAACCTTGAATTTAATATCTATACTGTTCAGAGGAAAATTAAAAAATTGATAATTTTAAAAAATGGTGCCTACAAAAGTTGTTCCTTTTTTAATTCTTAACAAGTTTTATTTGAAAAATATTTTGATATGAACAATAATTAGGAAGATAACCTTGAATTTTATTTCTGTACTATTCAGAGGGAAATTAAAAAATTAATAATTTCAAAAAATGGTGCCTACAAAAGTTGTTCCTTTTTTAATTCTTAACAAGTTTTATTTGAAAAATATTTTGATACAACCAATAATTAGGAACATAACCTAAAAAAAAGTAGTTATTTTGACATTTCTAATTTTTAGAAATCGTTTAAACATTTAAAATCGTCATTATCATAGTTAATTAAGATTAAGTAAGAAATTTCGTGAATTTTGATACCAAACACGACCCATTTATCTTTAAAACCAAAACAGTTATCCAAAAAAATAAAAAAAAAAACAAAAGACGAATCAACAAAGAATTTTTGGGATATCTCGATAACGATTCAACATAAATAGGTTGTGTTTGGTATCAAAATTAATGATTTTTAATTCTTTATCGATCGCAATGCACAAAAAACCAAAATCCGGTAAATTAAAAATTAATTATTTTGACATTTATTTCTTAAAAATCAAGATTTCGAAAAGAGCGAAAAATTTCGTGAAATTTGATACCAAACATGATATATTTACATTAAATATTAAAAATGACAGGTTATGATAAAACAAAATGGCCGCCATTTAATTTTTTTTTGTATCCGTCAATTTTATTGATAAATATATCGAGTTTGGACTCATTTTAAAGCATTTTTTATTAACACGATATATTTTCACTAAAAATGACAGGTTATGTTGTAACAAAATGGCCGCCATTTCATTTTTTTGGTATCCCCGTCAATTTTAAAGATAAATGTATCGAGTTTGGACTCATTTTAAAGCATTTTTTATACTTACTTAAAAACCATGTTGCAATGTTCGGCGAAACAATGATAATGGTCGTTATAGAGGTATTCGCACGTTTCTAGGCATCTCTCTTGGTTCGAAAAAAATTGGCAATACTTTTTCCAAAAATCTTCGCTGTTCCAGTTGGGATTTTCGTACTTTTCCTCCATTTGATTGACGCTCGATTCATTGGCGGATAAATCGATGACGGAACTTTCGGGGTCATCGTAACTAATCGGCGAGTTCCGCTCGCTCAAAGTCTCCGACGTGGACAAATTGGATGAATTTTGACTAAAAAGGCTCAAATTTAACCCCTCGAATTGCTGCTCGTACTCCCTCCCCCCCGGAAACGGCAATCCAATTCCCCCATCTTGCAAACTTTTCATCATACTTTGCGCTAACTTGTATTTTCGATAAGCCAACTCTGAATCTTTCCTTTCGTGTTTCCTTTTATGCGAGAATAATTGCCCGGAACTATGTAGGACGTAGTTACATTGCGGGCGAATGCAGTGAATATGGTTGCAGACTTTCGAAAAGCGGCAATTTTCGTATGGACACGATTCGTTTTTCATGAACTTTTTGAACCCATCTCTCGATAGTTGCTCATCTTTGATGTGGTACGATTTGTGTTTCTCCATATCGGATTTATTTTTGAATGTAAATCGACACCCGGCTCTACGACAATGAAAATGAGTGGTTCTTTGCCCGAAAAACGCGCAATACGAGGCACCACATTCCTCGGTTGCTCGATACCGTTGAAATCCTTCTTGGATTATCGCCGAATCTTTCCGGTGATAATTCGCGTGCATTTGAACATCGGACGTGGAGATGTACACTTTATCGCAACCCTCCTTTATGCAGTGATAATGAGTTTGTTTTTTGTTGTGAGTGCAGTTCCCGTAGCGATCGGAACAATCATCGAGAGGGCTATATCGCATAAATCCGTGTTGTAACGATTCATCTCGCTTTTTGTGCCATTTAAAATGGCGGATCATCTCCTCTTTTTTAATAAATACGCGCGAATTACAATCGAGGCAATGAAAATGTTCTCTATAATTTAAATCTTTACAATAAGAGCTACCACATTCTAAAGACGACGAGAATTTCTTAACGTATTTCGAGTAATCCATTTGGCTTTGGGTTTTGTTGATTAATAAAGGTTGGTGGAGATCGCGATGAGCTTGGGTTGGAGCTAAACTCTGCGCCATCATCGCTATAAAAAAAAATAATTTAGAATTAGCGCCATCTCTCGAAAAATATTAACACCGCATAAATCGTTTTATATCTCCTCAATAATATGTAAAAGGAAACGGTAAATGAAGCGTTTAAGTCTCGAATCAAGTGAATTTGAGTCGATGCGGGACAAGTGGAAGGGGAAGTCACTAGTTCGTCCCATTCTACAAACACTAAATTACCATAATCATTACAATTGGACGCAATGAAAATCACCACCAGTCTCACGGCAATTGCATGGCAATTTATTCCAATTTAAATCTTTTTATTATTCATAAAAAAAAATTTCCGAGACTCAACCACCGCCACGAATCCACGCCATCTATCTTATTAATAAAATTCTTTTTTAAAAACGGGGGACTCGTTTAAAACGAAATTTACGTAATAAATTTTAATTTAATCGTCATTCGAAAAATATTAACCCAAATTAGGCCCGATTTAAAAAATTATTATTACGGGTTAAGTAAAAATTAAAAAAATTTTTTTTTGTTAATTAAATTTTTTAAAATCGACGAAAATAATAAGATTTTCGGAAAGATCAGAAAATTTTAACCTAATTTGATGTATCACACCCCATATCAATCTTAAAATTCGCATAAATGACATAAATAATTAGTGTTTTGTTTTCGGCCATCTTGATTTTACAAAAACAATGATATCTCGGGAACTATACGACTTCGATATATCGAGTTTGGACTCATTTTAATCGCCTTTTAATTCTCCACAACTATATTAACGATTTATTTATTTTCGGCCATCTTGGATTTTATAAAAATGTCAAAATCTCAATATCTCGGAATTTATATTAACTAAATAAGTCGTATTTAGATTCATTTAAGGATTTTTTATTAAAATCAAAAATATTTAACAATTAAATTTGACGAAGTCGCAATTTTTCCCTCATTATCACCAAAAATAATAAGATTTTCGAAAAGATCAGACAATTTTAGCCCAATTTGATGTATCACACCCCATATCAATCTTAAAATTCGCATAAATGACATAAATAATTAGTGTTTTGTTTTCGGCCATCTTGATTTTACAAAAACAATGATATCTCGGGAACTATACGACTTCGATATATCGAGTTTGGACTCATTTTAATCGCCTTTTAATTCTCCACAACTATATTAACGATTTATTTATTTTCGGCCATCTTGGATTTTATAAAAATGTCAAAATCTCAATATCTCGGAATTTATATTAACTAAATAAGTCGTATTTAGATTCATTTAAGGATTTTTTATTAAAATCAAAAATATTTAACAATTAAATTTGACGAAGTTGCAATTTTTCCTTCATTATCACCAAAAATAATAAGATTTTCGGAAAGATCAGAAAATTTTAACCTAATTTGATGTATCACACCCCATATCAATCTTAAAATTCGCATAAATGACATAAATAATTAGTGTTTTGTTTTCGGCCATCTTGATTTTACAAAAACAATGATATCTCGGGAACTATACGACTTCGATATATCGAGTTTGGACTCATTTTAATCGCCTTTTAATTCTCCACAACTATATTAACGATTTATTTATTTTCGGCCATCTTGGATTTTATAAAAATGTCAAAATCTCAATATCTCGGAATTTATATTAACTAAATAAGTCGTATTTAGATTCATTTAAGGATTTTTTATTAAAATCAAAAATATTTAACAATTAAATTTGACGAAGCCGCAATTTTTCCCTCATTATCACCAAAAATAATAAGATTTTCGAAAAGATCAGACAATTTTAGCCCAATTTGATGTATCACACCCCATATCAATCTTAAAATTCGCGTAAATGACACAAATAATTAGTGTTTTGTTTTCGGCCATCTTGATTTTACAAAAACAATGATATCTCTGGAACTATACGACTTAGATATATCGAGTTTGGACTCATTTTAATCGCCTTTTAATTCTCCACAACAACATTAACGATTTATTTATTTTCGGCCATCTTGAATTTTATAAAAATGTCAAAATCTCAATATTTCGGAATTTATATTACCTAAATAAGTCGTATTTAGATTCATTTAAGGATTTTTTATTAAAATCAAAAATATTTAACAATTAAATTTGACGAAGCCGCAATTTTTCCCTCATTATCACCAAAAATAATAAGATTTTCGAAAAGATCAGACAATTTTAGCCCAATTTGATGTATCACACCCCATATCAATCTTAAAATTCGCGTAAATGACACAAATAATTAGTGTTTTGTTTTCGGCCATCTTGATTTTACAAAAACAATGATATCTCTGGAACTATACGACTTAGATATATCGAGTTTGGACTCATTTTAATCGCCTTTTAATACCCCACAAATATATTTACGAATTATTTATTTTCGGCCATCTTGGATTTTATAAAAATGTCAAAATCTCAATATCTCGGAATTTATATTAACTAAATAAGTCGTATTTAGATTCATTTAAGGATTTTTTATTAAAATCAAAAATATTTAACAATTAAATTTGACGAAGCCGCAATTTTTCCTTCATTATCACCAAAAATAATAAGATTTTCGGAAAGATCAGACAATTTTAGCCCAATTTGATGTATCACACTCCATATCAATCGTAAAGTTTGGATAAATGACATAATTAATTAGTGTTTTGTTTTCGGCCATCTTGATTTTACAAAAACAAAGATATCTCTTGAACTATACGACTTAGATATATCGAGTTTGGAGTCATTTTAATTGTCTTTTAGTTCTCTACAATAATATTAATGATTTATTTATTTTCGGCCATCTTGAATTTTATAAAAACGTCAAAATCGAAATATCTCGGAAAATATTTTAACTAAATCGGTTGTATTTGGATTCTTTTAGATAATAAGATTAAAACTAAAAATTGTTCGATTTGGTGAAAAAATTGACAGCCATTTTGACGCTTTTATTAAAAAAAAAAAACAAAAATTCATTCTTTTGGTAATAGGATCTTAAAGAGGAGTGAAAATGATGAAATTTGATACCAAACTCGATATAGTTTGGATTATAAACAAAAAAGTTGGGTTATGTCAAAACAAATTAAGCGGCCATTTTGTTTTTTTTTTAATTTTGAATATCTGTAGAACCAGAAATCATAAACAAGTCGTGTTTGGTATCATTTTAAAGGAAATTTCATGGCGGAAACGAAAATCTAATTGAAAATTATAAAAGTTAGATTATGTCAAATAAATTAGCGGCCATTTTGAATTTTTTTTGATACAAATATTAATAAAAAATTAAAATTTTTTTATTAAACTCATCGTCTTTCGATTAAATTAAAAATAATTAGAATATATCCAAAAAATTTCAGCCATTTTGAAATTTTTAATTCAAAAAAATCAGAAATTATGTATTTTGGGAATAGAATCTTAAAAAGGATTAAAAATGATGAAATTTGATACCAAACTCGATGTATTTCCGATTAAAAATAAAAAAGTTGGGTTATGTCAAAACACAAATAAGCGGCCATTTTGGTTTTTTTTTATTATTGTATATCTTTGGTACCATAAATCATAAATACATCGTGTTTGGTATCATTTTAAAGGAAATTTTATCAAAATTTTAATCAAAACTTAAAATGTTAGATTATGTCAAATAAATTAGCGGCCATTTTGAATTCACAACTTTTTTGTTTTTAAAGATAACCTAGTCATGTTTGGGCTCATTTTAAAGCATTTTTCATTTTCTTTACGAAAATTAATTAAAAAAAAATTTTTAATTTATTAATTGTAAATAAAATCGTAGAAACCTCAATAAATTTTTAATTTGACGTTCAATTCTTGTCAAATCACATTAAAAATGTCGCAAGAATCCGAAACGGTCGAAATTCTTTACCCTTGTCCTTTAACCCCGGAAGAACGCCGCGATTTATACCGCGCGTTCATTTTATTCGACCAAGACGGCGATAGAGAGGTTAAAACCGAATTAATGGGCTTAATAATGGAAAATTTAGGCCAAATTTGCAGCGAGGAAGAAATCGAATCCTGCCAAAATTGGGTCGACCCCGACGGAAAGGGTTTTTTCAAATTCCCCGAATTCCTCACCCTAATCGAATCAAAAATGGAAAACACCACGTCGCGAAATCTCCTAAAAAATTGCCTCAACGTTTTCGAAGACAACGATTTGGACTTTAAAGACGTCGGGTTTTTGCACGCGAACGAATTGAAGATGTATTTGACGACGATCGAGGATAAACTCGACGAGAAGGAGGTGATCGAAATGTATCGCGAATTAGAGATAAACGATGACGAGGAGATTCGAATCGAAGAGATTATCGATGTTTTAACATCGAGCGAGTATCACAACCCTTATAACAAACAAACTTTGAATTTGCCGCCGTTTACGACGTGCAAACCGATTGATTCTGAGCGTGAGTGTCTCTCAACGAGCGATATAACTTCGCCTTTTTTTAAAATGAGTGGGGATGAGACTTGTAATGATGTAACAACTTTTGATGTGTAAAATAAAAATTAAATATTTATGTTTAAATCGTAAAGAAACAAAAATAAGAATAAGAATAAGAACCAGTTTAATTGATTTCTGATAAATTTCTGGTGTACAATAAAATAATGTTTTGCCGCTGGGGGCAGCACCATATCTATCTTTATCTAAACGGTTTCGTTTTTCTATCCGTCTCTCTCTTTCTCTCATTCGAGAAGCGAAGAAATATGCGAGATCGTAACTCATACGCCTTTTAGGCCCCTTTTTTGTACGAATTGAATTTTCGAAGGTAGCAGCGCGACTTTCAACCTTAAAAACCGCACGAAATCCCTCTCCTCTCGTATTTAAAAAACCTTTACGCGTTTATTTTTATTTTTATGGGGTTTATTGAAGTTATTGTGTTGTTATATAAAAGATTGGTTCAGAATGTTTCGGGGTTTTCGTGGAAGAGAAAGAGATTCGGTTTTTTCGAATCAAAGGAGAAACAAAGAGGGGAACACATCGGGACGATCGTATTTTCGTTTTGATTTTTTTTCAATTTCTTTTTTTTAAA